CCCTACAAATCCCTTGAATGTGTTTCAAGGAGCTAAAAGCCCTAAATTCCTAACACAGCTGTTTTTCTTTACAAGAGGGAATTTTCATTATAAACACTATCAAGCTTAACAGACTTCTGATGAATTCGGCAAAGTTTACACTGCCAAAGTGAATGATTGTTTGATGTTATCCTGTTCTGCTTTATTACATCTGTCAAGGGGCTGATGAAGTTACTCAAATCTTTTAGCAAGGCTTCTAGAAGGGAAAAGCGAGAAGAATTAGAGAGGACATTGTGGATACAGTCCTCCCAACGTAGCAGGGATTGCACAGGGAGAAATTCTGTTGCTAAGCGACAAGGGAGAGAAAGGCAAGAGGTAGGATGCTTAAGTATGTTCATTAATCAACATTTCTTAATTTACAGATAACGCCCAGAGACAACAAAAGGATGTCTCTGTTAAGGCTGGATGAAACATTTCATAAATATAGTCAAACAGTTACGTGAACTAAGTGTCTTCAAAGCAAACTCAACTAAAGCATCTTGGAAGACATACAGTCACGGGGCTTGCAAACAGCCGGAGCGGCAGTACAGGGACAAATGGGGCTGAAGCTGTGCCATCCACCCTTCCAGATCCTTGTGTAGAAATTAAAACCTAACGGCTGTTTCATCTTCCTGGTACTGAACTCTGATAAAGGCTGTTGGATGACAGATGACTCCCATGGTTTCTACTGCTCAACAGATTTTTTACTTGCATCAAAACTTATCCAAGAACCTAAATAAACGTCCAAAGATCCACCAGAAGGATTTAAATGACATGGCAGAAATGAAAAATGGCATGTCACAAGCAGCATGCGGCCCTGTAGCTGTCTGAAACTCTGACACTCTGAACAGAAGAGCATCAGCACCGTGTAAGTTAGCCCAGGATCAAGAAAACAATGTCCCAAGGAGCCCGTAGGGTGCCACTTTATAAATAGCATCACGACAAACAGCTAACACTCATTTCAGTGTCAGCTTACACCACCTTCCACAGCAGAGATCATTTCCTTCTGTCAGTGCAATCCCAAACACAGCCCCTGTAGCTCAGACCAAACTCACCCTTCACACACTCTTCCATTCCAACCCAGAGCACCAGCAACACTGCCAGGTAAGACCGGGGTAAGAACAGATCTGTGAGGTCATCGCACCTCACAATGGAGAATGATGTTGGGTTTTAGGTAAACAACATCAGGGAAATCAAATAGTGTTGGTTTTTCCGCTCTCACATATACTTTTTTTCAATTAATGTCTATTTAATCTTGTAATTTGGGCACGTTATGGGGCAGGCACCTAGAAACACCCAGAGTGCATTAATTAAAAAAAAGCAAGAATAATACAGGACACACCTCAAACACACATCAGCAACAGAACCACTTAGAAGTTGGATGCACACATACTTCTGCTCAAAGCCCTCCTCTATCACACACCTTTCAAGCCACGACGCTGCAAAGCACTTTGTGCGCTGCATACGTGGCCTACCCACTTTGTTAGTGTTGTTATTCTCAAAAAACCACAGCATGACAGGCACAAACACAGAAAATGAGCTCTTTGGAGTGAGAGCTGTGGAAAAGACAACACTGGAAATGCTGGAGAAAGGTTTTTAGCTTATTGGTTTAAAAAAAAAAAAAAGTCTCCAGGTATCTTCTTGCTCCCAGTTTAATGCAAAGATTTCACAGCCTAAACCTTTTAGAGGACAAGTCCCTGTCATTACGTTGCCATCCCATTGTAAGCAGGCTGTAAATTATTCTTAATATCACACAATGAAAACCCAAGAGGGAGGAAATACTGCTGTATCCAAATGTGAGGACAGCATTTAAGGGGACTAAAGGCAGCAATCTTGCAGAGAACTCTGCCAGCATGTTAAGATGAATGCTCTTCCATTTTCAAAAGAGCAAACCAATTTTGAACACCCTCAAATAGTCAGGACGTTGATTTACATCTCTTACAAACAACAGCAAAGCAAGTAGTTCAATATCTAGTAGCTACACACTGGTATCTAAGTTTTGTTGGATGTGGTCCTTTGATAAAACGGTAGGGACCATGTTTCCAGCATGCTGTACCTATTAAACAGGTACCCTGGGTAGCTTTGGGGACCCATTTATCTGTAAGATCTGACAAGATCCCAACCCCAGGTAACTGAAGGCGATGTTCTTCTCCTGTGTCTCCTCCACTTCAAACATCCTCTTCTGCCACTTAGTGTCATCAAGGGGTTATTTGACCACAAAGCTTTGGCCCAGGAATGAGCCCCCCCTGCCTCCTACCTCTTCCAAATAAGGCATCAAAGTGGACAGGCATTTATAGAGAAGTTCACCTTTAAAACTGCCATCCCACAGGCTATTCTCTGTGGGCAGAGGAGCTCCACGGGTGAAGGAAGATGTCCCTACAGGTTAGATCTCGGAAGTGAAACCTTTGCCCCTGTTTACTCCTAAAGCAAGAACATGAGTAACTTGGTTACTCATTTGTGTCAAGGCAAAAGCACAAGACTCCCAGAACGTACTCTCACCTTTCTATACTCACCAGTTCCTCCCTGATACGCATCTGTAAAACACACATCCCTTTAAAGGGGGATCAGCCTTCACACTATAAGATCTTACTTTATGCAGAGAAGCCATGAAAAATTTATTCATCCTATGGATGTTCGCAAAAAATGATTTTTATAAATGCTTCTAGACTGTGGGTCTGCTGTTAAGATTTGAATAACCTCTACTTCTTCGGGATTCCATCAAAGAGAAAAGGTTTTCAATAAAAACTGCTTCACTATATTAAAAATAACACAGATACAAAACACCAAAAAGAAGAATTCCATAGCATTTCTTCAATAATACCAAGAAGCAAGTTTCCCCACCTTCCTTGAGAGTATAACAAGCAAAATGTGATGTCAGCAAACAAATATTTTAAAATAGCAATTATTACAGTTGTCCTTCCCCAACATAGTAAAGCCTTACAACTTCAATTTGTACTTTCATGCTAAAAAAACAGCTTCAGCATGCTGGTGCATTGTCCCAACTCTTGGACATAGCATCACACAAACCAACAGAAAGACTAGATTGCAAGGATCCTGATCGAGGGTTTTCCAGATCAGTTTGACACATAACCTGAAATGTTTCTAGCTACACTGACCTCTCCAGAAAGCTAAACTGCAATATCACTTATGACTTCAAGTGGTTTTCATGGTTTAATTCCATTCCAAGATGACACTAAATTACAGAATCACACAACACAGCTGAGGTTGGCAGGGAGCTCTGGAGGTCATCTGGTACAACCTTCCTGCCCAAGCAGGGCCTCTCAAAGCTGACTGCTCAGGTCCATGTCCAGACAGCTTTTCAACATCTCCATAGATGCCACAGCCTCCCTGGGCAGCCTGTACCAGTGCCCAGTCACCCTCGCAGTAAAAACCCCCAAGTGTTTCCTGATGTTCAGAGAGAACTTCCTGTGTTTCAGATTGTGCCCTATCACCTCTGGTCCTGGAACTGGGCACCACTGAGCAGGGCTGGCTCCATCTCCAGACCCTCCCTTCAGGTCTTCCTACACATTGCTAAGATCCCCCCTGAGCCTTCTCCTCTCCAGGCTCAACAGTCCCAGCTCCATCTGCCTTTCCTCCTAGGGCAAACGCTCCGAACACTTCATCACCTCCATGACCCTTTGCTGAACTTTCTCCTGTATGTCTATATCTCCCTTGTACTGGGAGCCCAGCACTGGAGTCAGCACTCCAGGTGTGGCCTCACCAGTGCTGAGTAGAGGGGAAGGATCACCTCCCTCAAGCTGCAAACACCTTGTCTAATGCAGCACAAGATACCCCCAGCCTTCTTCGAACAAGGGTAGAGTGCTGGCAGCTCACGTTCAACGTGGGGATCACCAGCACCCCCAGGACCTTTTCTGCCAAGCCGCTTTCCAGCGCAGTGATCCCCAGCGTATCCCAATGTCTGGGGTTGTTCCTCTACTCGGCAGTTCCTCTGGTTGAACTTCATGAGGTTCCTGTCAGTCTGTTTTTCCAGCCTGCCCAGGTCCCCCTGGACGGCAGCATGCCCTCTGGCATATCAGCCACTCGTCCCAGGCTGTGTCACCTGCACACGTGCTAAGGGTGCACCCCGCCCACCACCCAGATCAGTAATTCTGATGTTGAACAGGACTGAACCCAGCGGGACACCCGACTGTACCCTGGAGTATATTGCTCGTTACCAACCTCCAACTCGCCTCTGTGCCGCTGATCACCCTCCGCACCTGCCCATTCAGCCAGTTTCTGACCCACCTCGCTGTCTGCTCGTCCAGCCTGTACATCAACCACTTCTACTAGGATTGTACGGAGGTCAGTGTCACAGACCTTATGAAGGGCAGGTAGACAATATTCACGGCTCTCCGTCTACCAGGCCGGTCGTTTCATCCTTTAAGTTTCTCAAGCTGGCCAAGCACGGATTCCCCTGGATGAAGCCGTGCTGACTACTCCTAATAATTTTCTTGTTCCGATGATGTCTGAAAGTGGAACATTTAAACTCGGTTCCTCAAAAGCCTCCCCAAGACAACCACCTAAAGGAGTGATGATTTTGCCACATTGTCTAATGAAATATGGAGCACTTGCACAAATTTTTCAGCACTGAAGCAGTGCATGTGAAAAGGCAGAGCTCTGTTTAAGCAAT